CATAATCATCTTTGTGTTTAAATATAGAGCAAAATGAAAGCTAGGTATGCCTCCATGAGGACACATTTGTTGCTGGGAAGGAAACTCAAGTGCACCAGTGTGCTGTACACACATTAGTTGTTTCGTCACTAAATCAAGTCCGAATCTTTTGTGACCCCATGGACTGTAACCTGCAAGTCTCCTCCATCCATGGGATTCCCCAGGCAAGAATACTGGAATAGGTTGCCATTTCCTTCCCCATGGGATCTTCCTGACCCAGGAATCAAACCTGCATGTCCTGCACTACAGGCGGATTATTTTTTTACTGTTAAGCCACCAGGGAAGCCCCCATATACACAACCGTAGAACCTAGCAGTACACTAAGTGGATGCATTGAAGAGTTTAGTGGGTTATTATTTAACTCTCAGTGATTTAGCTGTGAACAGTAGACTAGAAGTTGTTATCCTTAGTTAACTTACTAAGAAACTTTGATTTGGATGGCTTAAGTGGTTTCCATGAAAGTCACATAGTCAGTTAGTGGTGGCGTTACGACTATTACCCAGATCTTTTGATAAGTGCTATGTGCCCTCAGCTGACACACGTCCCTTCCTTTCTGCCATTTAAATGCACTCACAGCTCGGGAGCTGTGTACAGAATTACAGTACATTTTACTCTTGGCTAACAACGGTGGGTCATAAAGGTCTTTTGACATTTATTCTTGTGAAAATTGTAAGGGCTGGAGGCAGATTTTTCTTGACTACAGTTGGTGACTGCATTAGACCCTGTTGATAAACCCTGTATTACTTTATGAATCAATTCTCCCTGCCCTCTGCCTTTTTTCATTTCAAGCACTGATGTAAAAAACCACACAGATTGCATCATGTGAACTCATTCCTTTCAGTCAGACAGAGAAACTGAGTGATTATGGAGCTGGCTAAAATTAATGGAATAGCCATATTAAAAATGGTTTGCTCACTGAAGTGGATGGATACATACTTAATTGTCATCAAAATTATATTAAATGATATATTAATTTTCAAACTTTCCATTGCATATAAAGAACACTATGGGCGCATTTTTCATTTTTCTACTGGATGTGATCCCGAAAGGAAAAAGCATTTGAAAAAAGAATAAATTAAGAAAGTTTAATAAAGGGACTATTGATGAAGGGAGAAGAGATATGGTATGACTTTTTGGAGTTAGCAGTGGCTAAAAATTGTTACACCCCTAAGTTTGAAGGAAAAGGATAGTAGAGAGAAGTTACTCAAACTCAAGATACCCAGACCTGTGGTAAGAACCCCTGTAGACCTGAAACCTTTAGGGGAAAACCCAAGGGAGAAACAGGGAAACATAAACCCCCAATTCATCCCCCTCCTGTCCTTTGATCTCCTGCTAGACGTACCCACTGGTTGAACCCAAGAGAAAACAGAAGAGAAAGGAACTGCTTCATAAGGAAGTCTTCATAAGTCAGCTTCCTGGGATCCAGAGCAAAAGGAGGTAGGGTGGATGTGGAGAAGCAAATTGAAGACACTCGACACAGAACTGCATCTGTCTTTATGAGATTATATTTAACAAATAAAATGATCCTCCACTGTAAGTTCATTGTCACCCACAGACCTCTTCGTCCTTTTGGGATATATTTAGAAAACGCAGTTTAAAAAGTTGACCTTTAAGCCAGCAAAGCATAAAATTCACAATCAATATGTAATTTACACAGGAAATGTTTCTTACTCATCCATACAGAACTTTAAAGTTTAAACTTCTTTGAGTAGAGGGTGACTGAAAAAAAAAAAAAAACCCAAAGAAACAAACTCAAAATCATTTTACCAGTGGTTCAAACTGTAATATATTTTACTTTCTCTTATTTTATTTTACTTTCTCTTATTTCTCTCAGTTATCATAATGTTTCAAAATTTAATCTTGATTCTTTTGTATCATTTTGACAGGGTAATCTTCAAAATGACATTTGGAGGAATTCAATCTGTCTTTTAGAATTACTTGGTTAAAGAGATCTGTGTTAAACACGAGGTGGCAATTCCAAAACTAACTATGCAAAAAGGCCCAAATTATAACCCAAATGATAAATTAACAAAATTTAACTCCTAAAATGCTAAAATTTAGATTCATTTTGAATATTTACAAATAAAAAATAAACAGAACTCATTGATTATGGTTTTAATTTATAAGGAAATGGTATCTTACCCTTTGGCTCTTGTTTATTGATTTCCACAATTTCATCTATTTTTTTTCTAATTAAGGTAGCAATAGAGTGACAAAACTTGTGATTTGTCCACCTTCTCCTCTTGTATATAGATAGCTTAGATAGTTACAGTATCTTTCAGTATCTTTGATTTTCAGAAAAATTTTTGTAAAAACTACAGTAAATTAGCATCCACATCAGAGCACAACCAAATGCATAATATGTTAATATGTTCAGGTGCAAAGGGGAAAAAAAAGCAGAGGGTGAAATCTAAGTTTGAAATGTATATTAAAACTGACTTTTGGGGAAATGGCATTAACATTCAGTAATAAATGATAATAGCAGCTCTCATTTATTGTATTCTTTGATAAAAGGAAATTCATGCATTAAGGTAGCTTACAGCTAAAAATAACAAGAAATCCTGTTCTTTTATGAAAATTCTCTTTTATAACTTCTTTCTAAAGACAAGGTCAGGAAAAAGACAAATTTAACTATGTAGATGACTATGATTATGGAATGATTAAATTTGGTCTTACTTAAAATAGATTTGTAAACTGAGAACTACAAGGATTGTCTGCTTAGAAAAACCAGCTCAAATCCATTCACTCCTGAGGAATCAAACAGAATATTGTTTGATTCTTTCTTATAGTGATATTCCAGTTATTCATTCATTTATTCCCTAAACAGTCTAGACAGAAAAATATAATTCAGAACTTGAAATATCTGACAGTGGTTAAAAATATGAGGAAAATGTTCATTATTAAACATGTAAGTATTGTAGAGTTAAAACATTACAGCCATATCTTGTTCATTTTTGTATTTCTAGTGCCTTGCTCAGAGTAAGTAGATGGTTGGCAAGGAACATTTTTCTTTAGTTTATTTTCCAATTAAGTTTTAATGACAAATGGAAAGTAGATAATCTTACCTAAAACAACTTATTTGGCAAAGAAATGTTCGCTGATCACTCTGCATCACCATCTCACAGCTGCCCAACACGAACCCCTTTTCCCCAAAAGTGACACTTGCCGTGAAGTTCAGAGATTCAGCAGAATTTAAAACATTTTTAAAGTACTATTATTATTTTAAATTTTACAGTCTGTCAAAAATTGAGATGATATTTGCTCCATCAATGGGCAGGTTGCTGGGACACTCTGAAAAGCGATTTCCTTGTGTATTCATATTTACAGGCTTCCCTCATCAATCATTAGAAATAGACCTGGACAGAGGTCTACGTGATTGACATGCAGGTTGCTAGTCAATAGAAGAAAGTTTCTTCTAGAGCTGAGGTAGATCCAAGAACCTACTTTAAAAAAAATGTCCTCAGGGGATGCATTATACAGCTAATGTGTCACCAGAATTATCCTCTTAGAAATATTCTTTCAAATGTTTTATTGAAGTAGAAAATGTTGAGGCTGGAAAAATTTTGAGAACTAGAAAATCTTTAATATTTCTCTCTTTATCCACTCACTCCACAATGCCAACGAAATCTTATATAAGAACATAAATTCCAGAGCCATTCATTTTCGCTACTACTGTTTTCAATGCACAGCAAGGCAGGAATCAAATCACCATACACATTTCTCACTTCAACCTGGAGACCAACAGGTCTCTCTTTCTTTTCTCTTCCTTTCTTCTCTTGCTCTCTCCTCCATTCCATTCACGTTTCTCCCTTTCTTTCCTTCTTCTGCTTTCTCACACAGTCCACCAGAAATATCACAGGGAAAGAAGTTGCATTTGTAGGGTTGGCCAAAAAGTTCATTTGGATTTTTCTGTAAGATGTTATGGAAAAACCTGAACGAAATTTTTGGCCAACCCAATATATAGTCTACATTATTGTTTACATGGTAATAACTCATATTAATGAAGAAAGATCACATGGCCTCCTTAATTGCCTGGGCAATTGGACAGTTTGCCCTGGCCAGAGAACCTACTCTGCTACTGAACTGATTCTTTCCTAGGCATTCGTGGTGAATGACAAGTTAACCCTTTTGGAACCACACCATTTTCAACAGCCAGAGGACCTCCCTCATTAGTCTCAGAAAATAAAGTATGAAATTCCAACATCAAATCTCATGCTGTTAAATTAACAACATCACACTGCTACATACGACTTGAATATTTCCCATAACTTTATGACTGGAAAAACACTGTTCAGATTTCATTTACCAGTTTAAAAATAGCAGACTCTAATTTGAAATACATACACACACACACTGTGCACACTCACTAATATTCCCTCTTAGTGCTAAGCAAACATTACTTCCTATAAGCAGAAATAAAATTCAGGATACTCATAAGTTTTAAAAGTTGGATTTGTCAAGAGATGATGTTTGTTATGAAACAAATCAAGAAGAAAATATGCTATAGAGCCAAAATGACAAGCCACAATCTGTTTAGTATAACAATGGCTATTTATCTATTTTTTATTGCATAAATCAAAATTATTCTGTGTTTATTTTGACTTGAAGATCACTCACAGTTTATTACGTCCCTATCCAATGAAATGTCTTCTACTTGGGTGGGTGAGGGCTGAGCCTGGCAAATAACAGATTTTAAACATCTTAAAATGGTGTGACAATTTTCTGAGACATCATGGGAAGACCGTCTTCAAACTTTGTTACTTTGTACATTCAGATAGGAGCTAAAAGAGAAACCTAGAAGAGATGCCCACAGACCACTTTAAGTCCACAGAAAGTGCAAAATAACATCACTGTGCTCATAAACAAAGAGAGGCTGCTGTTTGAATACAGCAGAAACAGTCATCATACACAAGGCACTCCAATTAAGTTTTGATAGAAGTTTATCTCACGTTTAAACTCACCGCTGGATGTAAGGGTCGGGACAGTACTGTAGGGTAGCACACCGTGAAGTTTCAAAATTCATTTCCTTCAACTCTCTTTGATATCAATAAATGGAGAAAAGTATACAACATACACACATATACCTGTGTATACATAGATATCAAGCCAGGAGGCTACAAGCAATAGGGTCAAATGCTATCAGACATAGACGTGTAGACACTTTCCCCCTTCACACATATTTGAAAAGAGGCGGAGCGTTTCTCGATTTGAACCAATGAGATTCACCAAGTGATTAAAACACCAGAAACAGTCGAATCTTACCAGCTGGGCATCCTCTCTAAAGTTGCTCTTCCTCCTCTACTACGGCTTTAGAGTCCCTCATGTATAGTGGCCACACTCGTTGGCAATTTGGAGTCATCGCTGAACGGCTGGTCTCTCTGGTGATTGGATGCTGGCATGAACGGCATCAGAGTTTAATTTCAGCAGCCTGGACTTTCACAACAGAGCAGAGCTAATGAATGTCCACCCTGTTCCAACTAATTAATGCTTCCTCGTATCTGCATGCTGATTTAATTTGAGGACTTCTGTGACTGCTTCTGGAACTAAATATTTCACAGAGCTGCTTAGGAAGTTTGTTTTTCTTCTTCTTCTTCTTCTTCATCTCCACCATCCCCCCCCCCGCCCCCAACCCCGCCCCTCTTCATTCTCCCTTTCAGCCAACCGCCTGTTGTGGTCACAATCTCAAATAGCAAAGACGGGGAAATTCCTTGATTATATTTAACCTAGAACTCGCTCTTCGTCTCAACTAAAAGAGATACCCATTCACATCCCCTTAGTATTGCCTTCCCTAAATTAAACAAAAACAAAAACAAAAAACCTTTATTGAATTTTTAAAATATCCTACCTCAAACACACACACATAATTTTCTTAAAGTAATGTTAAAATGGAAAATAATGTAGTATTTTTGACAGTTTTGAAGCTTACAAAATTATTTCAAATTGCCTGTTACTGGAAACATTTGAGTTATCTCCATCTCTCTCAGTCTTTCCCACTTTTTTATTTATGTCTATTGTTTTGGCTGGTTTTGGTTTTGCTTTAGCTCGAGCTACTTTGGAGTAAAACTATTAACTTGTTCATATATCCAAAACAATATATCAAAAGTCTACATACAGAATAATTCACTTCCTTTCTGAATACAGGCAGTAAACCAATCACAGTTTTGTGTATTTGGGAATTGAATGAAATATGATTCAGACGCTAAATTAAAATAGACTCCAACGGAAAAAAAAAAAAGAAGTGTGTCCAAGTATCACTAACAATGTAAGTTCACATCCTTCATTCACCCCTAATCACAGGTCACCTGTAAACTAGTGGCATCAGAAGTTGTCGAAGTTGTGAGATAAAGTTCTTTTCAGAGCAGTTTGACATTTCCTTTTGAGAAAATTTGGTTCAAAATGTGTTTCATAAAAATATTTTATTTGTTGCTGCAGCCAGGATAGAAGGGAGAAGCTATTTAAAACTTGACATTCTCTTCCTTACTTAGCCTGAGAGTGTCTAACATCTGTGAATTGTGAAATTCACAAATATGCCGGCCTGAGCCCCAGCCAATTCAAACAGCTTGTTCTACAAAATGAGAAACTTGAGGGAAGATCATTTTACTAATTAATTATAGATTTGTTAATTGGAGTTAAAGTGTTTGGCTTTACTCCCTGCTATTAGCAAATACAGATGACCAGAAAGTACAGAGTTCTTAAATTAAAAATATTCAATATCCCTTGAGCATGCCCAAGTCCCACCACACTGTCTGGCTTTTCCCATTTATAAAATGGGAGGTGAAATAGTGATCTCAAGTGTAGTGCTTCTCAAATGTTAAAGCACTTGTGAGTCACCTGGAAATCTTCTCAATGCAGATTCTAGTTCCATAGGTTTCAGATGGGGCCTGAGACTCTGCATTTCATACAAGCTCCCAGGTGATGGGTGCTGCTGGCTTTAGCATCACACTTTGAGTATAAAGACCCAGTGCTGTTTTCAGGCCTGCTTTTTATATACTTCTAGGAAATAACGAGAACCCTTCCAAATATTTTAATTACCAGCAGAGGCTCTCGATTCCCAAATATTAGTAAATTATTAATTTTAAGCATTCTTAACATGCTTTTCATTTCAAATTTTTACAGCTTAATTTATTTAAAAAAAAAAAGACCATTTAAAATGTATGCCCTGACATCCATGTTATTTAAAAACATCCTAAATTTATTAGGTTAAGAGGGACTGCTACTAAATAGTAACATATATATATATATATATATATATATATATATATTACCCCACTCCAGGTGGCACAGTGGTAAAGAATCCACCTGCCAACATAGGAGATACAAGGTTCAGTCCTTGGGTTGGGAAGATCCCCTGGAGAAGGAAATGGCAACCCATTCCAGTATCCTTGCTTGGAAAACTCCATGGACAGAGGAGCCTGGCGGGCCACAGTCTATGGGGTTGCAAAGAATCGGACACGACTGAGAGACTGAACTGAGCTGATATATATAATTTATAATTATGAAACATATTGGCTCCTATTGCTTTGTGAAAATAAATGCAGAGAGCTATTCTGATCAAGGACAAAAGGCAGACTCTCCAGTACTCAACAACACAACAATGGCGCCCAACCATATAGAACCTGGGGAAAATACATGACAATTATACAGTAATTACCAAAATTGGCACTTTTATTTCTATTACATCCCTCTTCACCCAGGGAGCTCAGGTTACTACACTGTTGTTGTTTAGTTGCTAAGCCATGTATGATTCTTTTGCGACCCCATAGACTGAATCCCACCAGGCTTCTCTGTCCATGGAATTTTCCAGGCAAGAATACTGGAGTGGGTTGCCATTTCCTCGTCCAGGGGATCTTCCTGACCCGGGGATTGAACCTGGGTCTCCTGTGTTGCAGGGAGAGTCTTTACCACTGAGACACCCAGGAAAGCCCTCAGATTAGTATACAAATGCATAAATTATTTCTTTGCTATGCAAGTTAGATGTTTCTCCAACATGTTACGTCTTTTAGGTAGAGATTGTAATAGAATAAGTTTCTCTTTAGCCTGGGAGAAGTCAGTTGCCTTTCTGACCATGTCCTCCATCTTTGAATGATGTTGTTGGTGAAGATTTTTGATTTGTAGGAAGAGAAGAAGTAACGAGCTTAGGGAAACAGTAGTATTCAGGACCTGGAACCCTGGACTCGCTCTAAGATAGAATAATATTTTTTTTTCCTTTCAGTAGCTGGTAGCCAAGAATGTGTACTTTGCCAAACTCAGGTATTCAAAACACAGACCTTTCTCATTTGCATTCATGTGAATTATATCTTAACTGCTCCCCATTACGTACTCTGTCCACTGGGTGACATGCTTTTCTTGTTCCTCCCTGCCTTGGAGCATGTCTTGTCCTTCATCCAGAATGCTTTAAAATCCCACGTGTGTATATCCACATCTCACAAACACGTGAGAGAACAGGAAGCCTTTCTCATTCCTCCAGGTAAAAGGAAGCTACCCTACCCCTCTTAAATCATGATGTTCTAACTTGGGAAAGGGCACCTGCTATTTCTTTCCTAGATCTGAGCTACTTTTGCATAAGACCATTTCCTGTACTGGATGGTGAACAACTTGAGAGTGGGTTTGATATCGATTCATCTCTGTATCTCCAGGGATGAGCAAAGTATGGTCTAGTGGACAAATAACTTATTTATTATCCTTGCAAAAACACATCTAATTATTATCATTAAGTGGTTAAAAAGAACTTCCATGAAACACTTGACTTTTTAGAATCAATTTTATTGAGGCATAATTTATATACAATGAAATTCACTGATTCTACTGTTCCATCTGAGGAATTTTGACATATTATAATCCATGTAGCCTGTACCACAACCAAGATATAGAATATCTCATTGCTCCCCAATCCTGCTCATTTCTATTACCTCAAAAGTTCCCCTTGCAGTTAATCCTTCCTCACATTGACCCTAAACACTCATTCTCTTGTTTTGCTTTTTTTGCCAGCATTTATCAGGTGTATGTTTTCTAGAATAGTATTATCCAATAGAAATTTCTGTGATGAAGGAAATACCTACATTTGCTCTGTCTGACATGGTTGCCACTAACCACATATGGCTAATGCAACTAAGAAACACATTTTAATTTTTATTCAATTTTGAGCAACTTGTATTTAAATAGCTGCATGTGACTAGTGGCTACCATGTTGGACAGCACAATGCTAGAATGTTACATAAATGCAAGCATATGGCTTGTATTCCTTTGTGTTTGGTAGGTTCTTTCATTCCACATATTGTTTTTGAGGTATCCATGTTCTTATGTACATCTGTAACTGGTTTTTCTTTATGACCGCTGAACATGTGGATTGTTCCTAATTTTAATTATTAATATAAAAATGCTAGTCTAAAATTCCTAATTACAGTCAGAAGCAGAAGTCCAATAGACTTTTTAAGAGCAAATACTAACCTATCCTATTAAGTCCTTTGGTGATGTGGACTAGCTCATTCTCTCCCAGGTTGCTGTAGCTCTAGAGGATGCAGAAGACGTAGAAAGAAACTAACTGGTTTGGTCAGAGTTCTGGTCACAATTTCCTCCTTGACTTTAGACAAGTAGCCTATTTCTTTGGGCTTTACATTCTTTTTCTTTATTCGTATGGCTACTTGTATTAACTGTATGTAGCATGCGGGGCCTTCATTGCATCATGTGGAATTTTTCTACATGGCATGTGGACTCTTTGGTTGTGGCATGAAAGTTTAGTTGCCCCGAGGCATGTGATGTCCTAGTTCCCTGATCAGGGGTCAAACTCATGTTCCCTGCATTGCAAGGCAAATTCTTAACTATTGGACCACCAAGGAAGCCCTGGACCTTACATTCTTGCTCTTTACGAGTAAGGATGTGCCAATGAGGACTCCTTTGTTACTAACAGTGTAAAGTGACTCCCACTAAATAAAACTGAGAATTTAAAAAAAAAAAAAAAACAGGTTAAAATGTGAAAGTTCACAGATTGAAGGAGAAAGTTGAAAAACAAGATTTGGGAAAGGG